CGTGGACAATGACTCAATAAAATATACTTCATTTATGACGCCATTAGGACAATTTGAATTTATGCGGATGCCAATGGGGCTAAAAAATGCTCCTGCGGTGTTTCAGCGATTTATTAATACAATTTTTGCGGACATGATTAGGGATGGTAAGGTAGTAATATATATGGACGACATTATGATCGCCAGTAAAGAGATACAGGAACATTTAAATGTTCTTAGGGAAGTTTTTGATCGTTTAGCAAGAAACAAACTAGAATTGAGAATGGACAAATGTGAGTTTTTACAAGCAAGTGTACAATATTTAGGATTTTTAGTAACCAGCAAAGGAATACAAGCTAATGATAAAGGAATAGAAGCTGTTAGAGATTTCCCTGTTCCAGATAAAGTACATGGTGTTAGAAGCTTTTTAGGTTTATGTTCGTATTTTAGGAGATTCATTAAGAATTTTTCGATGATCGCAAAACCATTATATGACCTGTTAAAGAAAGATAAAGAGTTTGCATTTGAAGAAAGGGAACTACAATGTTTTGAGATGCTTAAGAAAATGTTAGTTGAAGCGCCAGTGTTAGGATTATATTATTATAAAGACGAGATAGAATTGCATACAGATGCAAGCGCACAAGTTTTTGGAGCGGTCTTACTACAAAGGAAAGAGGACAAAAAGTTGCACCCTATTTTTTATTTTTCAAAGGCCACAACAAAAGACGAGGCAAAATATCACAGTTTTGAACTTGAAACGTTAGCAATAATTTATGCTCTACGAAGATTTAGAATTTATGTGCAGGGTAGACGATTTAGAATAGTTACTGATTGTAACTCACTGACGTTAACATTAAATAGGATTGAGTTAAACCCTCGAATTGCACGATGGGCATTAGAATTGCTTGAGTATGACTTTGAGTTAGTTCATAAATCGGGAAAACTTATGCAACACGTAGACGCGTTAAGTAGGAATACGAATATACTGGTAGTAGAAACGAATAGTTTTGAAGACAATTTAATTATTTGTCAAGCGAAAGATGAGAAGTTGAAAGATGTTAGGAAAAAGTTAGAAAAAGAGGAAGATAAAATGTTTGAGATGAGGAATGGAGTTATTTATAGAAAATCAAATGATGGGAAATTGTTATTCTGTGTGCCAGGAGAAATGGAGGACAAGATATTATACAAATATCACAATGAATTAGGTCATTTAGGACGAGACAAGGTTATGGATGCTATTGTTAAAAGTTGTTAGACATATTGATAATTGTTTGAGATGTGTGGCATATTCGCCAAAGTCAGGAAAAGGGGAAGGAATGTTGCACAGCATACCAAAAGGAAATGTGCCATTCGAAATTATACATATCGATCATTACGGACCGGTTGATAATGGAAGATCAAAGAAACATTTGTTTGTGGTGATAGACGGTTTTACTAAATACGTTAGGCTATATGCAACAAAGACGACGAACACAAAAGAAGTTATTATAGCAATGAAAGATTATTTTAGGTCGTACAGCAGGCCAACATGTATCGTTTCGGACAGAGGAAGCTGTTTTACATCGGAAGAGTTTGGAAGATTTGTCGAAGAATATAATATTAAGCACGTAAAAATTGCGACTGGGTCACCTCAGGCCAATGGGCAGGTGGAAAGAATTAATAGAATAATTGGACCAATGATAGCTAAATTAGCAGACCCGGAAAGAGGACTGCATTGGGATACAGTTGTTGAGGACGTTGAATTTTCATTGAACAATACAAAGCAAAGAAGCATTGCACAAATGCCGAGTAAAATGTTGTTTGGAATCGAACAGAAAGGAAAAGTTATTGATGAATTGAGGCAAAAGTTAGAAGAATTAGATAATGTTAGTGATGTTAGAGATGTTAGAGATTTAGACAAAATTAGGAAAAATGGAGTGGAATCGCAAATCAAATTACAAAATGACAACGAAAGAAGATACAATGAAAAAAGGAAGGATAGTTTAGAGTACAAAGTTGGAGATTATATTATGGTGAAAAATTTCGATAATGCAGTAGGAGTCGCAAGGAAGCTAATACCCAAACACAAGGGTCCTTATGTTATAGATAAAGTTTTGAGAAATGATAGGTATGTAATAAAAGATGTGGAAGGTTTTCAATTGGCGCGTTGCCCTTATCAAGGAGTCTGGAGTAGTCAAAATATTAAGCATTGGATTGGTAAACGAAAATAGCTGTAAATATATCCAAAGAATTGTAAAGCTAAAGACTGATAGTATGTAAGATCAAATAAAAACACCTCTTAACGAGGTAAAAAACTAGTGACGACCGCACCTTCAACATACAAAAGTTCTGATATCAACATTTGTGACGAAAAATTATTACACTCGTCATTAAATAGACTTTCTAATATTTTCTCATTCGGCCCGCCCTAGCAAACTATTCCAGCATTTTTCCCTTCACAGGCATTTTCTATTGCAGCGTGCCGAATGAGAAAATATTAGAAAGTCTATTTAATGACGAGTGTAATAATTTTTCGTCACAAATGTTGATATCAGAACTTTTGTATGTTGAAGGTGCGGTCGTCACTAGTTTTTTACCTCGTTAAGAGGTGTTTTTATTTGATATCAGAAGTTTTTGTTTGTTTACATTTGCTCTCATAGGAGCTAATATATACATTTAAATTTAAATTGGTCAATCATAATTTTTAAACTATTGTATTTTAACAAATTAAGTTAAAAAGGCGTTGAAGTATTTCAAAATACCTTTTAAACGAGGTATAGCACATGTCTGTACCTTTAGTAGTGTAGAACTTACAAACTAACGAAATTTAGCTATTTTTAGCTTTTTCCCGCTAAAATAGCGGCTTTTTCCAAAAGTCGTAGAACAAAAGATTCCTATATGGAACTCTTAAGTGCAAATTTACTGATTCCATGACCCTAAAATACAGTTCGGATACCCTCCCACAAAATTCAATACTCAGGGAGCGTTAATTGTTCGAGCTGGCAAAAGTGGCTATTTTCGTATAAAAATAACTTTTAAACGTGACTTTTTACAGTAATGTGTTATATACCAAAATTTAAGGAATCTCAAGGGCTATACAGTTAAAGGTTTTAAAGAAAATCGTTAGAGCCGTTTTTGAGAAAAATAAAAAAAAGCTAAAAAAAAAGTTTTAAAAAATTGTCTTTTGTTCATATTTTTTTAATTATTACATTTACACAAATTGCATATAGAAGGCGTTTATAGCATTTAAAAATACCTTTCAAACGAGATGCAGCACAAGCCTGTAGCTTTAGTAGTATAGAAGTTACGGCTTTCCGAATTTTAGCTATTTATAGCTGTTTTCCCGCTAAACTAGCGGGTTTTTCCAAAAGTGGTAGAACAAAAGTTTTTTATATCGATGTGATGAACGTCATATCAAATTTTCAGAACTTAAAAAACATATTTTGGACAAGTGGACAAACTGACAAACAGAATTAAATTTTCATTTTGGGAAGAAGAAGAAAATCTTATTTTGGCTATAACTTTTGAACGGAGCGTCGGATTTTGACAAACGACCCCTCATTCGACGGGTATTTTTAAAAGGAATACAAGTAAAATATTGCGAGGGGGCAATTATCCCCACCGGCCCCAACAGCTCCAAATTTCGAAATTTTCACTTTTTTACTTTCACCGCTCTCTCTCCCAAGCCAATTGATTTTCTTAGAGTCTTGGTATGCAATCCTGTTAGTTTTTGCAATACCTATCGATAGGTGTATCATTCATTATGATCGGACCATCACAGTAGATTTTCATTTCTTCGTGTATATATAGTAGTCGCCTTCGCACACTCTCCTGGTGCGCTTCGTCACTACATGGACTGCCGTCCATAGTGATAAATCAATTGTAAATTAAACCAAGATCAGGGGATCTTGAAATGTCAGGACGGCCGAATTGTAGCAGGATGGCTACGTAGTAGTATGTATGTATGTATAAGTTATTGTATTCCTTCTAGAACATTCCTGAATATTCTTAGAGTACGTTGTTGTTGTTGTAGAGCTTGCTCTCTCTCTTGCGATCTCACCGCACTCACTCTCTCAGAGAGTCGGGGGTTGGTGCGAGTCGTGAGCTGAGAGCGAAGTTAGTTGAATGCCAGCAGTGATCCTGACCAGATAAAACTTGTGAAATAAAATAATAATAAAACTATAAACTATTTTGTGTAAACATATATTCTACTGTGTGGTATTTCATTAATAGGGACATATATCATACCCCTACAACGTGTACTTTGTTTTTGCTTTGGGTACTTTTTATGTCCGTCCGCATGAACGCTGAGATCTCGCAAGTTTATTTCAGCCGAGCGCCACGGCCCCTCTAACGCCCACAATCTCCCACTAACAATTTTAAAATGTGTCTGGCGCCCACACCTTTAAAGATTTCCGGGAAGTATAAATGCAATTTTGTTGTGTATAATTATACCTATCGAAATGTAGAGGACATTTTTCAAATCGGTCCATTCAATAAAAAGTTATACGCAATCAAAAAAATGGTATATATCCATCTCCCTAGCACTCCCTTTAGCCGACGGGTATTAGATAGTCGGGACAACAACCCGACTATAGCATTCACTATTGTTTTTTATGATTTCAAATGTTTTTAAGTCAAGGCAGATCGGTGTATTGATTTGTTTTTGTTATTGTGCAACCTGTTCTTAATTCGAGAAAATTGTTTTTTTATTTTAGGGAAATGTATCTAGACTAACTTTAAATATACTTCTTATCTATTTCTATAATTCGCGAAAACTACAAATTTTTTGTGAGGCCTTTCCGTTTCTATCAGTTGGTGAAAGGCATTCGACTGAATCAACAGTTTGGCAACTAAGAGAGCCGCGCTAAGAGAAGCAGTGCCCTGCTTTGCCGACGCGGACCACTCGTTTCGACCCGAAATGTTTCGGCCGGGCGAAGAGCCGCCGAAGAGGCGGCGAACTGTTGCGGGTGGCTGAAGTTTAAGGACGGACCGCGGGAACGCTGTCGTTCAGTTTCAGTTCCGTGCGAATTGGCGTTGGGTGTGGACGCGAGTGGCGGAAAGCAGGCGGCGTCCCTATAAACAAGCTCTTCCATCTCTCGTGACTCTGGTGACGAAGCGGCACAAGATAGCTGCCAGTTCAGAGATTTCCGCAAAAGTTCAAGTGACAATTTCCCAACCAACAACAACTTTCCGACGAAGTCAACGCAAATTGAATGCGATTCGATTGTCTCCCGATCTTCATCGATTCATTACGCACAGGAAAAAGAAAGTCAACTATAAAGTTTTTAGTGAAAAAGTTTCGTTGGCCCCGTTGGCGTGGCAATTCTACCGAAATCAAACCGAAATTTTCGCAAATGAGTTTTGCTAACGACGGGCTAAACCAATTAACAGAATTCACTCTTGTGTAATAAATAAATTGCCAACAATTATAACTTGCAATCCCACTCAAGCATAATTAAATGAAATGTTCAACAAAATGTTTACGGCAATTGCAGCTCAAAGCGAGAGACCATAGACGAGGTGCAACGTGTTGTGGTAGTGGCAAGAAAACTCAAAGAAAGCCGCAAGGCTCGACCAGAAATTTATAATTGGTAATAGCAGGTAAGCAGTATGTGGGAAGTCTCGAGCTGGCATTTAGGACAAGGCAATCTTGAAAAATATAAATATTAAAACATTATTTCCTTAGTTTTCCAAATTACCGACAAAAAGCTATGTCAAGTACAAATAAAAACCACCATGGAAATTAAAGGAACTCTTATATTAAGTTTAGCACTGCAGAAAAATAAAGTTTAAGCAAATATGTGGGGTTATCACTTAACAATATATACTCCTTCTTCTTTTTCTCCTAGACTCCTTCTGAAAAATAATTAAATTTCTGTATAACAACTTTTAAAATACTTTAGAATTTTTTTAAAATAGTTTTTATGTAGTTTAACAACAATTTTGTTAAATAATTATTACAATTTGGGTTATTGCAAAAGAATTTTTCTTTTACCTAGACAAATTATTTTTTTCGTTTCCTTGCTTGATCCGTAAAGAAAATTTGTTCTAAAAGTCCATAACCTTTGCATCTGCCAGATAAAGAATAACCCGGCACACTGGGAAATCCAAGGAATAACATGTCTGCTACAGGGGAAAAGAAAGAAAATTTCCCAAGTGCGACGCCGTGTATCATTTGAACACCTTTAATTAATTAAACGGCACAGCTCCCGAGTGCGTGCCCCTAAAAAACTTCTTGGTTGTTCTTTCAGGTGCCAGAATGTTTCTTGTGGGGCTGCGAACTCGTCTTTCAACAGCATGATTATTATTTTATTTCATGTTGCGGCTTTTAAGTAACAGACTTAGCACAATCGCATGGCGAAAATCCCGGCTATACGCCCCTGGGGGCGACGACCCACTGAGGCCTTTTTGTCCCAGAGCGTGCCGCATTTATACCAATTTGAAAAGCGCGGCTTACTTTCGCGCCAACCTCATGATTATATATTTATTTGATTTTTCCGGTCTGCGGCTGCTCTTTCCAACCGCTTCTTCACCCCAAGACCCAGGCCTTCCATCTTTGAGGTTCGTTGCCCAGAAAATATTTACATAAAATCTAATCAAAAGGCAGGCCACATTATCTGCTCGGACTGCTGCCTCATGAAAATTTCAATAAGACTTTGACACAGATACAAATCCACGTGCATATGTTTGCGTATATATATATGAGATCATACATATATGCCAAAGAGTATATAAATATGTGGGCTGCACTTAACCTACAACCTGGCATCGTTTAGTAAACGAAGGTTCAGGGCTCGAACAACTCTAAAAGCATTTTTAATAATTCACAACTTTGTATTTTGTTGCCTGTCTGTCAAGGCGGCAAACAACTCTTTAAGCTTTTGTTTTAATTTACTTTTATTTTCGCTCCTTATGCCAGGCATGTTCTTAAAGAGATATGCGGTGCAAGAATTTGTGTGTATAGAAATAAATAAAATGATTTGGCGTTTAATTAAAGATAATTTAACCAAATCTTCACAGATTTTAATCGATAAGTCACCAACGTCCCTTGGGTATTTAGACAAATACAGTGGACATATGCCTAAAGGGATTTACTTATCTATATAGTGAACCACGGCGGGCTATCTGATTCGCACTATGGGGTTTGTCAGTTGCCACAAACTGTGACATTTTATTTACCTCCAACATAACCGCAAAAAAATAAATAAACAAAAAACGGAAGGGCTGGAACCTTCATAGGGCCATCAAAATTAATGCAGTTAAGCCGCGCAATGTAATCAATGAAATATTGATATTTTTAATGTTTAATCTTTTCAATTAAATTGGCAATGATTTACGCTGTCCTCCCGAAGATGTTTGGTCACCGAATTGTAATGACACATTAAACCCCGATACGAAACGTTTCGACATGGCTGCGGAATTGTAAATGATGTTGTCGCATAAATCAATTAAAATGGTAATTGAAAAATAATTAAATATACAAATTAAGTTGCAAGTTGTTTGGGCTCATCTGCATTAATATGCCCGGTGATTTAATGAATGAGTTTGCTTGTGCTTTCTGTGGCGAGTTTACTCGGCACCCGCTGAGCTTCAATCGTTCGACCGATAAATATCCAAAGTCCATCCATTAAAGTCTCATTTTAAATAACGTATACGCCCCGCTGCCACAGCCAAACAACAATCGAGATTGTTTTAAAAGGCATTCACAGGCCAAGCAACTATTTATTTAGTCGAATTCGAGTATTTGCCCATAAAACTATTCAACTGATTGCGGTATTTTCATTTCCATAACGCATACGCCTCGTTGACCCGATGAAATGCCGCCTAATTGCTTCCCTAAGCCCAAAAGCTGCTTCAGCAGCACAAAATGCCCTCATAAACTCTTAACGAACACAATAACAATGAACTCGATCAAGAGGAAATAATTTCCATTCAATATTTTCATCTGGCATGCACAGTTTCAGGCTTTTCATTGGTTCTCCTACTCAATGCATATACATTTTAATGCATTCATTTAATTGAATGCTCCACCAGAACGGGCTGGGGACATTCATCTACCAATCAATCAATCAGCGGGCGTGATGAAAATTATTTTAAAAGCCAAAAAACTCTCGCAGAATTGGAAGGCGGAGCAAAGTAAAATAAAGGAAAGGAAAGTTTCAGCTGCGGTTTGCATAATAATGGGATATGCCAAGGCCGGCCAAGAATGCGGTGCTGGGCTCTCAGCTGACTGCTTCCTGGCCAACAGTACGTGCCGGCGTCACTGAGCAGGGATCGGATGGACTTAGTTCGGTGGATTTGGTTCCATTCTGGTCGCTCAACCGCAACACAGATACAAATTAGCAGTTGCGGGACCTTCTCCTTACTCAGGCCCATTACCATTTCCTTTCGAATTTTTCTAGCCGCTCTGCCTTCTGTCAATGCGATCGGGAAATTCGAAATAATGTTATTAACCAAGGGGTTAGGCATGGAGGGAATTCTCCTTTTGAAGCCACGCTCCTCAGCGCAAACATTGACAACAAGTTTTAATTACAACAAAGCAATTATTAAACATTAGCTCGGTTTCGGCTGAAAGCGAAAACAAACAGAACAGCACAGAGCAGCCCTGCATACTTATGAGGGCTGAGAAAAGTACTTTCCGCTTATAGACTCGAGCAAATGGAGCGTGCTGCATGTTAATTGAAAACACAAGCTGACTGACAGCCCTTAATCTGACTAGACCTCCTGCTCCGTTTATCCAAAAGCGGAAGCTCTCTGGTCAGTTTTTCTGCTGGTTTCCTTGATTTGCATAATATGCTAATTACGACACACTTTCCAGCGCATAAATCATTCATTAATCATCAGCTTTCGGGCCAGTCCAATTCATGTGCGGGCTCTTCAATTAGACCCTGAACTTTTCATCTGTTTTAGCTGCCCCTGCACCCAAAAAAAAGTAGTCATCAATATGCCCCTATTTAGGTGTCAATGTGACACTATTGAGTGGAAAAAAATCTTTGATCCGAACGTCATTAAATTGACCCTATTCTGGTGTCACTTTAATACTTTCGAAAATATTAATTTGACCCTTTTTGGTGTCAAAGAGCCACTAGCCGGTGTCATTTTCTTAGGATTAAATAAAATTTGACATTTGCTTGAAAGCTCCTGTAACCATTCTGCCATGGCAAAAATTAATATGGGCATGGCTCAGGGGCCAAGGCGCTAGGTTCTGATATTATTTTGTGCTCGGGGGAACGAGGTTCGAATCCCGCTCGAAACACCATTATTATTTTTTTTTTTTATCAGTAATCTAACACAACTTAACATTTTTGTTCTTAAAATGATATATATGCATTTTAAAAACTTTTTACCTACTCCGACTTAACTGGGTTTCGAACCGGGGACCTCGCGCACCAGAGGCAGACGCCTTACCAACTGGGCCATCGAACCATTTTGCGCGCGAGCGAACTCTTGACAAGTATAAACAAAATCGATACTCGAGTAAAACATCGTCGAACTTCGAACTTCGAAAACCAAAAATGATAATTATTGGGATCGATGTGAACCTAGTTTTATCAAAATGACACTATTTAGTATCAAATACGATTTTTCTGAAAACGTGGTATACTTTTGACACTCATTTGGGGGCAAATTGACCCCAAAAATTTGATCCTAGGGGCAGTGTCATTTTAAACCACAAGTATTAATTTGACACTCAGGATTTTTTTTTTGGGTGTGGTTCTGTCGACTCAATGCGCACAATTTTCTGTGCGAAGATTTTAATTTTTGCTTTAGAATTCGTGTGTCTGTGCGCGAAAAGCAGAAGATGATGCTTACAAATATTTAGCGAACTGAAATACAGAGGAGATTGCTGTGTTTCAAGACAAATAATAATTACTTATGGTATTCTAAACACACCGGGATCAAATCGATATCCACATTTCTGTTATTACACGCATATCGTTTTTACCATGATTAAAGTTAGGAGGAAGAAAGACACATTCAAAATTCGAACTGGCTTACTTTTAACATGTTCAAAATTAATACCACATAAGATCAAATCGATCATCGTCTTATATCAAGTTTTTTTTGGTTGTACTAAATACAGATTTTTTGTTAAATTATTTTTACTTAGGTTTTGCTAATTTTTCTTAAATTTTAAATTATATAAACTAGTAACAAACACACAAAAGTTTGTCACTAGTTTATATATCCTTGAAAGAAGAAAACAACAATTTCCTTCAGGTTTTCCAGTTGATCAGCTTTTCTCACGCGCCATTTACGCCACAATCTAAGGCCAATCCTCACTGTGGATGCACTGTACTGCCTGTTTGCTGCAAACGCATAAAAAATTGTTGCCACATCACTCACTCAGCTTGGACGCGACGGCGGCAGCTGCTTTTCACCGCTTTTCTTTTGCATTTTCCCAAGCGGAGGATGGCGGCATGGGGTTGGGACACTTACAATATGCCATCGTGGCCATGGAAGACTGCAGTCAAAGGCATCTCATCAACAGCCCTTCAGGCCTCCTCCCCCGAAACTTTTACTAGCAAAAATATGTATGCCATGCGGTTGGAAGAAGGGTCAAGGGGCAAGGGGCTTATTACATTATCACTGCACCTTTT